TATGAATAAAATTTCCGATCACTATCCTAGTCGTGACTGAGTGATGTGTCATCTGGACAAAACAACACTGTTGCGATTTTTGTATGCTTTAGCGACTTTTTTTCTCCACTTGACCGCTGGCGATTTCCAGCTACATTTTTGGCTACATTAGTAATTCCATTAAAGTTCGCCTTTTTTACAGTTAAAGTCTTTTCAAGTACCGAACGCAACTAGTAATTATGCTGCGCTATCTCCCCAGCCAATATACAATGGAAGTAGGAAGCTATTACTGTAGTCATTTTTTTGTAATGAAGCAGACGGGTCTGAATGGCAGGCACATTGCATTATGCATCACGGAGATAAAGGGATTGACATATCTTACACACATTATTGCTTTGAAGAAATTTATTAACCTATAAATTGATAAATGATTACTATTATGATGTAAAGGACGTAGAGAAATTGGTTGGAATGTTTTTTATATTCTATTTTCTTGCAAAATACAGCCAAATCCACCTTATTCGACTGGTATGTAGCTATAATGATAACATATAAACACTGAGTATATTGAACTTAACAAATTCAAGATTGCCATGAATTAACAAACATCCAAACCTGCTGTTAAATATAACAGCTAGAAAATCGACCTATTATTTCTCCCATTCCCATTAAAGTTTTCCTGTTTTCTCTGTACAAAAGCATCATGTTGGAATCAAAAAGTGGTCTTGTTTATAATACAGTCGAATGTTCACGATTTTATTCAATATTTTAATAGAAATCACTGATATTCAGAGACCTTTGACAGTTTCCGACAAAATTGCATTTCGATAAGGTATTTTCCCATTCGTCCAAGGGACCATTAAATATAAACGTTGGTAAGGCAGTTTGAAACATAATTGTGTCTTCAGTTTGAGTGCTAACTTTATAAACAGTTCAGCGCATTTCAGTATGGAATATTTTTTTTTGTATAAACTTTAGGGCTCATCTGTGATCATGTAAAAATGTCAGCTCTAAATATGTATACACCAGAGGATAAAGAAATCTTGAAAAAAAATTGTTTCCTTCGTAATAAAAGGTGATAGACACATCCGCTTTGTTTTGAAATGTGTATAATAGCGTATGTTTTTCGAATATCGTAGCGAATCTGTTCAATTACTCACAAATACAGAATGTTTGAATTTGTTTAGAAGAAAAACACGTAACCCTTCGTTTTTCGCAAAAAAATAACAATTATCTTACGGAATGCTTTGTGATTAGTGATTTCCGGAAGACAGGTGTTTTCAAATTTGTTGAGCTTATTCAAAAGATATTCTGGTTTCTTATTCACTAAAATTTTATGAACCAAACATAAACTTTGGTATTTTCTAAGACTCTCCATGTTCATTTTACAATTCTCTTTTTACACATGGCTTATGTAATCAAATTTCTGTATACCTAGAGAAAAACGGTAAGAAGTTTGTGGCCGTTGTAACTTGTGTTTATCACTTTTTATTATAGCCGGGCCAGATACTCTTCCGCAGCATGAAACCCTTGAAGCTATAAGACCATGACACAATAGAATTTTCAGTTTTATGACTGGAGTGTCCTATTAGATGTGCCCATTCCGCAAGAGCGTTCTTGCAGCCCTTATAGGAGTGATAATTATTATTAGAGATGTATCCTGTATAAGGGCGCCCTGTTAGAAGTTTTTTTCAAACGAACGTGAGACTTATTTTTCCACATCTTATATAAACCATTTTCAAAAACCTTTTAAAATATTTAATAGCAATGCAGACTGGGCGTATTTTTAATTGAAGTTGGCATAAAGACCGCTTATAAAAAATTTTCCCTCGTCCTCCCCCCACAACAATCCTTTCAGTGCTTGAGCACTACCACAAAACACTGTCATTAAAATCCCTCCTTTGAGAACTCAATAACGTAACCACCGCTGCTGCATCGTCGCCATATTCGTTTTCATTTCCTGGCGTCTCTACCTTGAAATTATTCTTCCATTAACGGCTTAAACGGAACTCCTCCTTCTAGCACGCATCTTTTAGTCTTTGCTGAGGGCAGCATTTCCGCTTTTTTTAAGGGTCTTTTCAACCCCCACTTTACGTCCACCCACCCGTACGCGCATATATGTATGAGTTTTGAGCGATTTTGGAGAGTGCATGTTGCAGAAGTTGTTAGATGTAGCTTTGCTCATGTGCATGATAATGTGCACGTGAAGCCTCCCACTGCGAGCGTGAGATGTAGGTGCCTCATGGATCGTTATGAAAATAAAAAATGGGGGAATACATCAGAAAGGTTTTATGCAAAAAATCTAAAGCACCAACATTCTCTATTGCTATGCCTAGAAGATTGTGCGACTCCTGTGCTTAAGGTAGACAAATGAGAAGTTGTTTCAACAAAGAATTAAGTAGTAATCACCTTTTACGGAAAACGTTCTACTCCTTTAAAAACCATTTAACGATTATGCTGCTAGAAAGAGTAAGTATTACATACATATATCAACATCTGCAGTTAATTTGAAATTGAGAAATTTGGCCAAATCATTCTTTAATTTTTTCCGACTTTATTTTAAGGACTATCAAAAAACTAATGAAGCTTTGTTATTTGGTTGGTTTTTGGGTAATTAGGCTGTCGTAATATATTTTTACTTGACGTTTCGCCAACACGAGTGGTTGACATCTTCAGAAGATGTTCACAGTTTGGAGTCCTATGAACTACTGACATCTCCGCGGTCTTAGCTCATATTTATATGTGGCTCGGGTGGTGGGAAATGAAGGTTTTTATGTTGGCATCTTTTAGGCACTACGTGATGGTGTTCTTAAATTTTGTACCCGACGGTTCATCAACTTATTTTTTTATATGGTCCAAAAAAGAAGTACACCCTGTATCTAATAGCATTTTTTATAAGAATTTCACGATGTATCACATGTTACATCTATTTTCTTGGTTATTAGGAAAAATACGTTTTCTAGATTTTTTTTATTCTTTATGTAGGCGTTGTAAGCAACTGCTTAACTTCACGTAAATGCCTGTCATCTAGTATTGTTATTATTGTATACTGTTAATATTGGTTTATTATCGTCAGGCGGTCATTATAGCAATGAAGAAAAGTTCGACATACTGACGTGCTAGATTTTGTGCTACAAAAATACTAAAAATACTGCAGAAATGTATCTTGATAAAGTTCCCAAAAGAAGGCAGCCAATACGTCCATTTTCTTCGAGTTAGAATCTTGAAAATACTTGTATAATCTTTTTTACAACTAGTAGCTGAGAACTCTAAGATATCAACTAGGCAAATTGAGAAAAATGTTGGCTGGTTTATTTTGCGTAAAAATATATATCACTCATATAAATTCAGTATTTGCCGAGGACTTAGGGCCGTATCGTCAGTCGTTTCTACAACTGTAGGACGCCTTCATGACCTCCTTGATTTTTCATAGTCTTTCTCTCCAGAAAGGCTGGAGTACCTATTTCCAGATTTCTACTGTTCCGTGTCAGCGTCAGCGCTCTCCTATTGTGAGGCCTTGTTTTTTTTTTAATTGTAGGAAATTTCAGGCTGATAAAACATGATAAAGATTAAAAGCATGAATAAATTGATTCAAATAGATATTTGTAACATAACCTCAAAATCAATACGGCCTTTAGACACCTGATTTTAGAGCCAATATCCTGCAGAAACCATATTTGCATTTCACACAACAGCATTTTGGTGTTCAGGCAACAACAAAAGAGAGATTTTACGGCTGAACCATTTCTTTTACCAAAAACTTATAGCACCACTTTGCTAGTTGGGTTGGACATCGCTGCCATTGTTCTTGATAGACGGCATGGCATCTTGACAAAATTGTCAGAGACAGTTTAGAATACTCTATCTCATGTTCAAAGTTTTGGCACCTGTAAGTTGACTTGATTTTTCATGTAATCTGTGATGCAATCATTCAATAACAATGGTTACCTTATGCTTTGAACAATAATTTGTTATACAATAATCGTCTCTCTTCCATAGTCGTCTAAAGTCTTCGACCAAACAGAAAAAAGTTTCAAAAACACCCCTAAACGAGCAATTTTCTCGGCGTCAAAGCAAAGGCATAATTATCCCCTAATCCCCACTTTTAACACTAAAAACTGCACTCTTATCCCGTAGCGAAGCACCCACTTCACCAGGATAATGAGAAATTTTCCGCTCGGTCTAACACCGGCTGGCCTCATACAATCGAGGATTTAATTTTGAATGAGGAGGGACTGAAAGGTGTACTTCACTTAGACGTTTTTCACTTTTTGCCCTGAAATTTTGCTGGTGTAAGTGGGTTGAGAAACAGAAAAACTGAGGGATCATTTAAACTACAGGGTGCGTATTTTAGTAGCATCCGAAGTTGTCACTTTTCCAAACGCGGGGACGGTTATCATATGACATACACATCATTGAAACTATTCCACTCACTTACATCTGCCTGTCTGAGTCTCCATGCGTTGTCCGTTGGCCCCTCTATAACATGGAAAGTATAACTGTTACTTTGATGAAATTTCCACCCAAGGTTACTTATAAGCTAAAGACAAAAATGCTTCCTGGATTTTGAAAATCGTTCTAGCGGCGGCGAAGTTACGAACAAAAAACGAAAAGAATAAAAGTCGCTCAAACTTCGTTTTTTTATGTTTCAGATGCACCTGATCATTTACAGATATTTTGGAGGGGTTAAAAATTGGAGTTTGAGGGCTACACCCAACTAGCAAAGTGGTGCTATAAGTTTTTGGTAAAAGAAGTGTTCAGCCGTAAAAGCTCAATATTGTTGTTGCCTGAACACCAAAATGCGCTTAATGTTTTGTGAAATGCAAATTTGCTTTCTGCAGCATAGTTGCTCTAAAATGAGGTGCCTAAAATATTCTTGAAGCATAGTTACCTATACAAGAACTTATGGAACAAATTTTGTACTGTTTTTTTTTGTACTCCAACTACCACGAATGCCTAAGGCCTAAACACCCATTGAGTACAGTGGGGCTATAGGGGGATACAGGGGAAAGGGGGAACGCCACATGGACTCTGGCGAGGGAACACGTGTGCATGCAACATGCACACATTCTGGCTCCGCCTACGAGATCCGCCGGGTGGTACCTCCACGTTCGACAGTCAGATACCGTCTACCACCTACGGACAATCACAACATCCATAGCCAAGAGAAAAATTTCTCCTGGGACGGGACTCGAACCCGCACAGCGCACGGCGACTGATCAGGAGACCGAAGAGTCTACTACTGCGGCCACCGCTGCTGCCTGCTGTTGCATACTTTTTTATTTACTAATTATCCTCCATCAGGCCTAACTAATGAGTATAGGAATAAGTCAACTATATAATTTGCAAATTCAAATTCGAAGTAGTCAAAAAGTCATCTACAACGAACAACAACATATATATATATATATATATATAGAATATGATTATGCGGAGAAAGGTATATAACAACAAGTAGGAAAATAATGGGCAAAATCCGCAAAAAGGAGGAAAGTGGATTCGAGCAGAAAATAGGATAGGTAACCCGAGCGATGCGTATTTCTGCTGGTTGGCTTCATCAGGCCCGAAATGAATGCACATATGAAACTACAAAAATAGATCCTTTGGGCTTGAAGTACCACAGCAAGTGGCTATGACCGGCCGCGTGGTGGTGGTTAGACGTCTCCTTGAAAATTCGAGGTCGTATAGCCATTTTATACTACAATGTGTAGGTTGGCTCTTGTTGTGGACTTCGTGTGTCGTTTTTTTTTTCCCCTCCAACTTCGTTTCCTCAGGTTACACCCGTATCCGGATGTGTGGGCATGTGTATCTACTTTTGTAGTTTCATACATGCATTGCATTCATTTCGGGCCTGATGCAGCCAACCAGCAGAAATACGTATCGCTCGGGTTACCTATCCTATTTTCTGCTCGAATCCACTTTCCTCCTTTTTGCGGATTTTGCCCATTATTTTACAACTTGTTGTTATATACAGGGTGTTCCATAATTATTGCGACAAAATGATAGGGGTTGTAGAGGGCATCAGAATAAACAATTTTTCCTTATAAACCCCTGTTCGGAAACATGCCGTTTGGGCTGCAGCAAAAAAAAAAGATCAGTTTCTTGAAACAGCTTACCTACAGTAATTGCTCAAAGTGTCCTCCACCTTGCTCAATACACACCTGTGCACGATTGTTCAATGATCGGCGAACTCTGTGGCATACCCCCGGTATGTCCTGAACATGTGCGGACGCGGCCATCCCTCTTCCCAGTAGCTCTTGTTGGTTGGGAACAGGAGTTTCGTACACTAAAGCTTTCAGATAGCTCCAGATAAAATAATCCAGTGGAGTCAGGTCAAGTGACCGCGCAGGCCAAGGCACAGGGCCACCTCGGCCTATCCACCTATTTGGAAATTTGTCGTCCAAATACTGCCGCACTTGTAAAGAAAAGTGGGCTGGACCGCCATGGTGCTGAAACCACATGTTGGCTCTTATATTCAGTGGCACATTTTCTAATAGTTCCGGTAGCACATGCTGTAAGGATCGACCATAAGCATGCCCATCCAAACGTGGTGGAAGCAGATATGGCCCGATGATATGCTCGTCCACAATGCCGCACCAGATGTTAATTGAAAACTGATGTTGGTCTCTATGGATGGCTATGGCATGAGGGTTTTCTTCATCCCAAATGTGACTGTTACGGCTATTAAAATAACCGTCCTTTGTAAAACAGGACTCGTCAGTGAACAAAACGTAGCGACCAAAGTTTGGTTGCCTCAACTCCTGCTGCAGCCACCAACGACAAAAACGTCGACGCGGCAGATAGTCTGCTGGACCCATGGCTTGGACTTTTAAAAGGTGGTACGGGTGTACGATAACAAAAATGTAAACACAGCAGGCTTTTTCTACAAAACAGACCATGAAATGTGCTAGACGAACATTTTGCAGCTGGTGAATTTTTTGTTTCTCCTATGAGCTCTTAAGGTAAAATTAACTGTAGTGCTCAAACGGCATATTTACGAACAGGGGCTTATAAGGCAAAATTGCATATTTTTATGCCCTCTACAACCCCTATCATTTTGTCGCAATAATTATGGAACACCCTGTATATATACTTTGAGACGTGGTCATTGTCGTCTAGTCTAATTAGGTGAAAAAATAAAGCTTCCGCCTTTAGTTGGGTACTTCGACAAAATTCAAGCAATGGGGAAGGACTCTTTATACTTTATTAGTATTTAGCTTTCAGTGGACCTTGCCATCTCCATCAGGAGAATAGTATGTGAGATTGTTGCTAAACGTTATTACCGTTTAAGTTGACGGAAACATTTAGTAGCCTAGTGAAAGCTGGAAGATTGTACATTCGTTAAAATTAATATAAAATACATACAGCTGTAGCTGTCAGGAACAAATCAAAACGGATTAAAAATATTTAGAACGAAAGTTAAAATTACATCGTGAACTACCTAATGCTGCACATAATGATGTGACAAATGGATGAACTGATATTTTTCTGGCGAGGTATTCAATTTGGCTCACAAACGAGAGCTTGGAATCCATGTATAAACCAAAAAATTTGGCACAATAGATCTACTGCAAGTTATATCCCATACCATTAACCCTTACGCTGAAATTTAATTCACTCCGCTTAAACAGAATCAAGTCTGGTTTTTGTGCATTCAAAATGAGATCATTAGACTTGCAGTATTTGCTCATTAGACTGAATACCTTATTTATCTGTGTTCCTAGTTCCTGAGCATCCGAAGCATGCGTAGTAAAGGTTGTGTCATCAGCAAAAAGCGTTTTGAATGTATTAGGATTTGGAATATCTATATCATTTATAAACAGAAGGAATAGCAATTGTTAGTATGTAATGTAGTTACTAATGTGGAGTCCGATTTAACATAGTTGCGATTGTTATGAACCTTTACTGCTTGAGTCCTGCCTAATAAGTAAGTTCTAATCCAGTTATAAACACAGCCACGTATTTTTCTGATTTATTTAATAATAAGGTATGGTTAATGGCTAAAATCAATCATCATCGAAATTTTATGAAATCGCATTGCATAACGATAGAATGGCATCCTAAGTACATGGCCCTTTTGTAAAACCAAACTGCACTAAATTTAAAATGTATCAGTTGTATATCTTAGTAACGAATTGACTCAGTCAGGAGCAGTACGCCTTTTCGAATACTTTAGCAAATGCAGAAAGTAAATCAATCCTCCTATACTTGACGATATCGGTTTTGTCATCTTTTTTATGAATCGGAACGATGAGGGCTTACTTTAGCCTGGATGGAAATATGCCTTCACAAAAAGAGCAATTGGTCAATTTAATTAGAGGATCGACAATTAGACCCGCTAGCTTTGCCAACAATGAACATGGTACTTCATCATCACCGCTGGATGATTTTTTGAAATGTCATTTACAACATTTATGATTTCATTATCTTCCAGTGGATGTAGAAAAAATGAATTACTAGATATGTTGGTTGTCCTAAAATCAATATCAACATTTTGTGTGAGGGCCTGCACCGACTCCAAAAAAAAATTATTAAATGAATCAGCCAGTTCCTTACCACGAAGCTGCGAACCATTTTCTCTTTTGAAATTCAGGTTACGGTTGCTACTACAGTGTCGAGTGTGAGACTTAACTATGTCCCATACAGTTTTTGAAATATAAGTAGAATTTCGGAGAATACTTTCATGGTATAATATTTAAGTCTGTTGGATCTTTGATTTATGACACTTTTTTGGAGTTTTATACTGTTGGTGTAACTCGTTACTCCCTGTATACTTATAAGCACTGTTAATGTCACGCAAAAGTTTAACTTCTTCGACAATCTCAGTACCCACTCATGTTATGTTCTACTTTTTTCATCTTAACGGAGGTCACGGGAAAAGCTTTATCCAGCATGCTTACAGAATAGTCATGAAATGTAGAAAATTTTGAATCACTGCTTTCTTCGCTATTCAAGTAATTCCAATCACGGTCTAAAATTAAATGTCTGAAATAACCGAGTTTGTATTCATCATTAAAAAATCTTTTAGATACATAATTGTTCAACGCACACTGTGACTCATCGATACTCATTTCAGCTAGTTGTAAAAAGTGCTCAGATAGGTCACACGGTATGACTTCAGCCTTCAAACGCAAGGGATTAGCGTTACAAAAAATATTATCTATTATTGTGCCCGAGTTATTCTGGATCCTGCACGGGTATTATGTAAGAAACCTATAAAACGACACAAAAAACTATAAGATGTCATCTTGCAGACTAGGTCTGCATGCGTATAAAATCAGTGATATTTGCTGAGTGAGAAAATCATTACTGAATATGCTGCCAATGAAGTATATCCGTTAGCTGTGCCCGACGGGTTATTTATATGTTGTCCTTTCTGAAGACAGATTATGTTCAAAGTTATAAATTACGATTTTCACGTGTTTTATGTTTTCAAAAACTTTGAGGAGAATTACGGAAAAACACGTTGTGTGTAATTACTGTCACCATGTACATAACTTGTAATTCGACACTGTACAGTGAATATAATTATCACTCATCTCTATCATTTTTCAAATTCAGCAAATTTGCATATGTAATTTCCAAAATGGATAACAAAAAGTGGATGCGCAACTATACTAAGTGACATATAAATCCGAACACCCAGTTTAAATGGTTTTATTTTAATAAAATTTTGTACTTAAGTACTTAATGAAGCATAATAAGTAAATGATAAAAATTTCAAAATGATTGCACTGCTTTAAAGCCCTTTGACCTTTAATAATGTGTGGATGCACCCTGATGTGCTACGCATTCTCCAACGCGCCTAGGCATGCTTCTGATCAGGTGGTCAATGTCCTCCTGTGGTATCTCATTCCAGGCAACCACCAACTCCTCTCGAAGTGCTTCTAGAGTCTGAGGAGGACGTTGCAAATTGAGCAATTTCCTACCCATCATATCCTACACGTGCTCAATTGGGGATAAGTCGGGAGATCTTGGTGGCCATGGTAACAATGTGTACATCATTATGTTGAAAGAAGTCTATTGTGACTTTTGCAACATGTGGTCGGGCATTATCTTGTTGGAAAGTTGGATCTGCCAGGGTGTCAAGATAGGGTAAAAGATGGGGTTCTAGAACTTCGTGGATATAACGCTGCGCGTTCATGTTACCTCTGCTGGAGATTAAAGGTGACCTGGAACCATAAGCTATAGCACCCCAAACAGTGTGATGAACATGTCTTTCAACAAAAAACTGTGGATTCCTCCTTTCACCACGTCGCCTTCCAACCCTGGCACGACCATCGTGCATGCCTAAACAAAATCGTCACTAAAGACAATACTGTTCCATTCCTGATCCCAGAGTGACCGTTGTCTGCACCACTCAAGGCGATTACGTCGGTGTTCTCGAGTTAAAGGGAGGACCCAGTGTGGCCGGTATGAAAACAAGCCAAAACTTCTCATTTGCCGGTAAACACTTCGCATGCCAATAGGTCTTCCGTGTTCTGCAAACCATTCATTTGCAATGGACCTGGTAGTGGAGAAACGGTCCCTTAAGGCCAATAATCTTAGGCGGCGATCT